ATGGATTCTTTTTGCTTTTATATTTTCAAATTAGTTGTTTTGGTTTTTGCACATTGATTATGTAATCCTTCACCTTATGAAATTACCTTATTTCTGTTCCTAATGATTGGGCAAACCTAATACTCAAATATGGGCTAACATTTTAGTGGACATATGATAGTCTCAAGAATGTGAAAGGATTCAGACTCTGAAATAGCTGTACATCATGTTTCCTGTCTACTCTTTCTTTCAAGTTGCTTTCTACTTACTTACTTATTTATTTATGTAGAGACAGGTCTTGCTATGTTGCCCAGGGTGGTCTTGAACTCCTTGGCCTCACAGAGTGGTGAGATTACAGGCATGGGCCACCACATCTCAAGTTGCCTTTTAAACGTGTTAGTGTGTGTGTGTGTGTGTGTGTGTGTGTGTGTGTATTTTGTAAGCATGTGTGTCTGCATGCATCTTCACACATATAGGCATCCCTCTTGTGTGCATGTAGGCAAAAGTGATATAGAACTTGGAGGATATGGCTAGACATAGGCATAAGGAGGGCCAAAAGTGAGCAGAAAGAAATAGATCAATGAAAGTAGATCGGCCAGGGGCGGGGGGTGGCGCAGTGGCTCATGCCTGTAATCCTAGCATTCTGGGAGGCCAAGGCAAGCGGACTGTTTGAGCTTAGGAGTTTGAGACCAGCCTGAGCAAGAATGAGACCTCATCTCTACTAGAAAAAATAGAAAGAAATTAGCTGGACAACTAAAAAAAAAAAAAATATATATATATATATATATGTATGTGTGTGTGTTATATAAATTAGCCAGGCATGGTGGCACATGCCTGTAGTCCCAGCTACTTGGGAGGCTGAGGCAGGAGGATCGCTTGACCCCAGGAGTTTGAGGTTGATGTGAGCTAGGCTGACGCCACGGTACTCTATCCTAGACAACAGAATGAGACTCTGTCTCAAAAAAAAACAAATGAGGCCGGGCACGGTGGTTCACGCCTGTAATCCTAGCACTCTGGGAGGCCGAGGCAGGAGGATTGCTCGAGGTCAGGAGTTCAAAACCAGCCTGAGCAAGAGCGAGACCCTGTCTCTACTATAAATAGAAAGAAATTAATTGGTCAACTAATATTTATAGAAAAACTTAGCCGGGCATGGTGGTGCATGCCTGTAGTCCAGTTACTCGGAGCTGAGCCAGTAGGATTGCTTGAGCCAGGAGTTTGAGGCGTGCGTGAGCTAGGCTGACGCCACGGCACTCTAGCCTGGGCAACAAAGCAAGACACTGTCTCAAAAAAAAAAAAAAAAAAAAAAAGAAAGTAGATCAAGGACAGAAAACTTAATGGAAATATGTCTGCAAAGATAGTTGTGGAATGTGGGCCTACTAAATAATTTCACTAAGTTAATATTAATTATAATATTGCCATTATTATCATTAAAATAATGTTAATGTTAATAATTACTTATTGAGCATCTGTTCTGTACACTGTGCTCAATATTTGAATTACATTTCTCATTTTGCACCAACCCAGTAAGATTGCTATTATTATCTCTATTTCAAAGCTGACAAAACTGTGGCCCAAACTGGCTAAATAATCTGGCTAAGAGCACCCAGCTAGTCAGCCACAAACTGAGATTTGAGCCCATGCTGTCTGACCCTAAGCACTTGCTCTTCACTGGCGTGCAAGCAGACTTCCTTTACTTGTGGACACCCAGTCAACGTCACCACATGCACCAAACGATGCAATACACACCTGCATTCATTCACTGTAATGTTATTATAGCAAAAATGTCCATTATAGGTAAATGGTTAAATAATCAATGTTGCATCTTTACATGTACTACAGAATATAATACAGTGGTTAAAACCGTGGGTAAGTTGATAATTCCTGACTTGAAAAATCTTCACCCCATATTGCTAAGTGAAAGAAAACATTTACAGGATAACATTATAATTATGTTGCCAATTTACTAAAGAAAATACAGAAAAGAATACTTGATGGAGTCTACAGGTCAATTTCTATATAAAGATTTATCAAGCTGTATATTTAAATTTGTGCGATTGATTGTGTGCAAATTATACCTAAATTTAAAAATGGATTGCATTTATGTTTTCATGTATATATAAAAATACGAAGAACCTGATCTGGAACAATATGCATCCAACTTTTGGCAGTGGGTTCCTGGTGGAAGGGAGACCTCTGCTTTTCCTCTGCATTATTTGAATATTTTAAAAAGGAGAATGCATTTATTTGGTATCTACAATAATAAATAAATAAACATTTTTATTTCTGTCAATTAATAGATAGACAAAATTAACGCATAACAAATATATGTTGGAAGAAAACAAGCCGCTGAGAATCCACGTAGAGATATGCCCATCTTCACTCCTGGGAAACATCTCAGAACTATGTTTTCTCTATTTTTGCCTGTCTAGGAAGAAGTCAACATTAAGTCATCAGTTATAATAACTTCGGTAAGGGGCTTTGCTACTACTCTAATCATCATCTGGCCAGACAGCTGCATGTGGAGGTGAGATATGAACAGCACAGTCACCCTATGAGAAGACTGACCCCACCCCAGGGATCTGGAGCCTACAAGAGTCTCAGTATTTGCCTGAAAAAGATGACTCACTTCTTCCCACACCTACAGTGGCCATGGGGAGGATGCAGCTGCTAGAAATGAATATGCAGTACCTCTATAGCTGGTGTGATTTAAAAAGCAATGAAGAAGAAGAAATTCAGATTAAAATAATCAAATACCATGGCAAAAATTTAAGTAAATGACTCTACACAATATTGGTATGGGATGAGAGGGCAATGATGACAGGTGAGCTGAGAGAAGTTAGCAGAAGCCAAAATAGGGCTTTGTCAAACCCATTAAGGAGTTTGTCCCAAGAACATGGGCATGGGCAAGCCAGTAGTGGGCCTTAGGCGGGGATCAGCTCTGGCTACTCTAAAGGGAACGCCCTGAGAGGGAACCAGGCCAGCAGTGGTTGAGCAGTTAGGAGCCAGTGCAGTAATCAGGCAAGATATTTGGGTATCCTGGAACCATGAGATAGCAGTGGGGATGGAGGCAAGTGGATGGGTAGAGGGATAGTAAAGAGAGATCAGACAGGTCTTGGTGATCCATTTTATATATCCTGAAAAGGAGGAGGCAGTTGTGGTGGTGTCTGTATCAGCTAGGGTTAAATCAGTAAAGCAGAACTTAGGCATTATGGAATAACATTGTTGAAATTAGTTTGTGGGAGGGGCTGGGCAATTCAACGTTTGGGAAGAGGAGTTGGAGGCTCACAAATGTTCCCTGACCAGTCAGTCTGAGAAGCTGGAGATGTCCAACTGACCCAGCAGAAACACAAAGTTGAGGATGAAGGAACAGTCTAGAGGAAGCGTTTGCCTCCGTGGGTCCACAGGCAGGTACCTGCTTATAGGCCTGCGACTGCTACTGGTCAGCAAGGCCTGGCATCTGGAAGACAAGCAGGAGGCGGCGTAGTGGGGGCAAGGACAAGCTGAACCCTGCTAGACACTTCTACACTCATCAAAGGATGACAGCATTCAGATATAATGTCCCCCAAATCTCATACAAATTCCTTTCTTGGCCAACTCTAACCTGGAACCTCACAGGAAAAGGGATTCTGGGAAGCATAGTTTCCAGCCTAAGTTGATGATCCAGAGAAGATTCTGGAGGAGACTTAGTGAGTTCAGTTTTGAATACGTTCACTTTGGTTTCACTGTGATACATACCCATGGAGAAATCCAGTTGACAGCTGGGCTGGTCTAAACTTCTTCAGTGCACAAGCAAACCTAGAACTCATTTTTTTTTTGAGACAGAGTCTCGCTTTGTTGCCTAGGCTAGAGTGAGTGCCCTGGCGTTAGCCTAGCTCACAGCAACCTCAAACTCCTGGGCTCGCGATCCTTCTGCCTCAGCCTCCCACGTAGCTGGGACTACAGGCATGCGCCACCATGCCGGCTAATTTTTTCTATATCTATTAGTGGCCAATTAATTTCTTTCTGTTTATAGTAGAGACAGGGTCTCGCTCTTGCTCAGGCTGGTTTCAAACTCCTGACCTCGAGCAATCCGCCCGCCTCGGCCTCCCAGAGAGCTAGGATTACAGGCGTGAGCCACCGCGCCCGGCCTAGAACTCATTTTAACTCAGCCTGAGCATAAGGGAGTGGCATGCAGTTGCACATCAAAGACCTAGGAACTCAAAATATTGGCTGGGGGAGACAATCAGAAAGACAGTCCACCAAATGAAAATCATGAAAGAGAAAAAAAGAAACCACAAAAACGACAAACTCCAAACATTATCTATAATTCTCAGGCAGTTACTTGAGACAGCAAGATGGAGTGGGCAGGCTCTACAGGGCAGGTGGAAGGAGGTGTCCCAGAGGGATGGCCTGAGCTACTCTAACCCTAGGTGGGAAGGCAGTACCGTAAGGATAGTCTGCGATAATCACTAGTCTGAAAGTGACACAACTTATCAAAAAAAATATTACTTGATAGTCACTCTTCATGCATTTATATCCTACTACATGGGCATCAGACAATATATTTAATGAATGACCTTTCTTTCAGAAATTCCAAAAGCAAGTTTATTTCTTAATACAACTTGTGTGGGAGGCCGAGGCAGGAGAATCCCTCAAGGTCATGAGTTTGAAACCAGCCTGAGCAAGAGCAAGACCCTGTCTCTACTACAAATAGAAGGAAATTAATTGGCCAACTAAAAATATATAGAGAAAAAATTAGCCGGGCATGGTGGCGCATGCCTGTATTCCCAGCTACTCAGGAGGCTGAGGCAGTAAGATCACTTGAGCCCAGGAGTTTGAGGTTGCTGTGCGCTAGGCTGATGCCACTGCACTCTAGCCTGGGCAAGAGAGCGAGACTCTGCCTCAAAAAAAAAAAAAAAGAAATACAACTTGTGACCTTATTGCTTTACAGTCCTCTGAATCACAAAGTGAGTTCTGACTGAGGTTCCAGGCGACATAGGAAACATTCCACACAGGGAGCCCCACCACCGAGTCAGGGGAGCCCCCACCACCGAGTCAGGGGAGCTTCCACCACCTCCATCATCACCACCACCACTGCCTCTGCCACAGCGGTCTCTACAACCTCTACCTCCACCACTTGAGGTGGAGGGATAGTGGCTGGGGAAAGGGGTGAAGGGAGGGCAAAGAATGGAAACAGTTCCAAAGGAATTGGAAATTTCTGGCCCTTTAAGGTAAATTTTCTTAATTTCTATTGGATAACACATGTCCTTGATGAACAATTATATCTACAGTGTTCTTGTCCTTTGCTTTCTTAGTAATCAAATGAAACCATGGTTTCCTGTTAGACCATGTACACTGAGGAGTGATATTCCTCCTCTACCTTTACAAAAGAGAAGATTTCTCTTCCTTCTCTATGCTCCTATTCAGTTATATTTGTATTTATTATGAATGAATGAATGAATGAATGAATGAATGAATGAACGTATGAATGATGCACTGCATCCTAAGAATGGCCAGTGTATGAGACAGCTGTATTATGGCTATCCACGAAATAGAGAAAAATGAAGTTGTGATATAAGGGATTTACTTCGGGTCAAATCATAGTATTATTGTGCCTTTTATATTGTGCCAACAGTCCAAAGATCATAAAAACTGCATCTTTTACATGAATATTACCAAAAATAAGCCATTAAAAATCTTTACATACATTTTGGTCAAAAGCGCTTAAAAGGTTTGACAGTCTCCACTTTCCTCTCCTCCCTCTCTGCTTGCCTATCCATTTCCTTTGCTGGGTCCTCTTCCTCCTCCTGCCTGCTAACTGATCATTCCCTTGGATTTTGCCTGGGACCCTTTGCTGGTATCTGTCAACTGTGAGTTTTTCTAGGTCAGTTTCCTAGATCTCGTGATTCCATTCCTAGCCAGATGAAAAGCTAGGTCCCTTTTTGGGCACTGTAATGGGGCTCCGTCCTTGGCTCCATCTGACCTGTTTAATCCTTTTAGTAATGACCTGGATGAGCATATGGACGGCACTGTGAACTTTTTCCCTCATACCTTCAAGGGGAGGATGCAATCCTCATCCATCTGTGCATCTCAGCACCTTGCACAATAGCTGGCCTATTGTAGGTACAGAAGAAGTGATTGGATGCTGGTCAAATTTGTTGATGAGACTGAAGTATTTATGGGCAAGTAAATATAATTTGGGGATTGGCATGAAAATACACCAGCAAAAAATGTAACCAAAAAAATTGACAAAATGAAGTAGATGGAGATACAGATGAAACGAGACTGAAAAAATGTTGATAATGGTTGAAACTGGTTAATGAGTACATGGGGACTCATTATACTCTTCTGTAATTTTTCTGTAATTTTTAAGTTTTCCATTAAAAAAAAGAAACAAAAATCTGTTGGTGAGGTAAAGCCAGGGAGGCTTGTGAATATGCGAATGGTTTTAGAAGCATTTATGAAGTGGAAATTCGCAAATAAATTTTACACTAGGGATAACTGGCTGTATCCAACATAGTTGCGCACTTCAGAGGATTAAATACAAGTAAAGAAAGTGGCAAAACACTTCAAACTCATCAGAGAGTTTTGCTTGTCTCTTTAATTTTTAATTATATTGCCACGTGTAAACCATATATGAAGGTTGCTAAAGACTTTTTTTTTTTTTTTTTTTTTTTTTTGAGACAGAGTCTCACTTTGTTGCCCAGGCTAGAGTGAGTGCCGTGGCGTAAGCTGGCTCACAGCAACCTCAAATCTCCGGGGCTCAGCGATCCTCTGCTCAGCTCCCGAGGTAGCTGGACTAACAGGCATGCGCACCTATGCCGGCTAATTTTTGTATATATATTTTTAGTTGTCAATTAATTTCTTTCTATATTGGTAGAGAACGGGGTTCTCGCTCAGGCTGGTTATCGAACTCCTGACCTTGAGCAATCCGCCCGCCTCGGCCTTCCCAAAAGTGGCTAGGATTACAGGCGTGAGCCACCAACGCCCGGCCACTAAAGACTTTTTGTTTATCACAATAAAACAGTGCATCATTTTATTTATCATTTATTGTAGAAGACTGTCCTTTCTAGAGATAAGATTTTTGCATAATTTAGAGGATGCAAATTCTACTGGCAAGAATGTTAAAGGTAATATATCTATATTTTTTGTCATTATTTTACTTATTAGGTCCCCCCCCCTTGAGACAGAAGTTCTGCCTCTGTCGACCAG